GACGTGGGGCTGGCGCTGGGCACCCTCTACGGCAACGTCTTCTCGCAGACCACCATCTGCCGCTTCGAGGCCCTGCAGCTGAGCTTCAAGAACATGTGCAAGCTGAAGCCTTTGTTGAACAAGTGGCTGGAGGAAGCCGACTCCTCCACGGGCAGCCCCACGAGCATCGACAAGATCGCGGCGCAGGGCAGGAAGAGGAAGAAGAGGACCTCCATCGAGGTGAGTGTCAAGGGGGCCTTGGAGAGCCACTTTCTGAAATGCCCCAAGCCCTCCGCCCAGGAGATTACGAACCTAGCGGACAGCCTGCAGCTGGAGAAGGAGGTGGTCAGGGTTTGGTTTTGCAATCGGAGGCAGAAAGAGAAACGGATGACCCCGCCGGGCATCCAGCAGCAGACCCCCGACGATGTCTACTCGCAGGTCGGCACCGTGAACTCGGACACGCCGCCCCCTCACCACGGACTGCAGACGAGCGTGCAGTGAGGGGCGCGTGCAGTGCGGGCGGGGGGGCAGCGGGGCCGGCACCGGCTCCGGCTCCGGCTCCGGCTCCGGCACCGGCTCCGGCTCCGGCTCCGGCTCCGGCAGCGCCGCGCACACGCTCGCGCTCACCCTCCCTCACACACACACACAAACACTCACACACACGACATGCGGGCTCGTTCAGACTGCTTGTGGTTATATATATATGGATAGACGCGTGCATCCGTATCTATATCTATATATATATATATATATATATATATAAGAGCGATGCGGACAGGGAGCGCTGGAGGAGAAGGGCGCTGCGGGCGCTAGCGTTGCACACTGTGGTGGGCAAGCGGGGCGGAGATGGGTAATGCACCAAAACTGCAGATGTGCCGGGGGTTGCTTGGGGGAAAGGGGGTGGTTGGGTGGTTTGCTTTTTTTTTTTTTTCTTACTGTTATTTTTTTATTATTAATATTATTCTCCGAATTAGCCCCCTCTTGCAGCGGTGAGCAGCACTGATGCCTGCGCCTCTCCTCTCCTCCCCTCTGTTCCTAAAAGGGCTCTCTTCTATGAATCATGGAAAGTTTTTTTTCTCTCTCTCTCTCTCTTTTCCCTCCCTCTTTCCCTTTCTCTCTCCCCCTCTCTCTCCCTCTTTTCTTTTTTTTTTTTTAAATAGGAGAAATCAAAAAAAAAAAGGGGGGGGTAGTAGTGGTGGAAGCAGAAGCAAAATAATCTAGTTAAGCACAGGGTGCCTGCTGCATTCCAGCACCCTGTTTTTCTTGGCCAAACCGTATGGTTTTGGTGCACGGTAGACATCCACTCTGAAAACATGCATGTCTGTGTATCTCTGTATTCTGCAAAATGAAAAGGGCCACTTTCCATCCCCCCCTCCCTTCTTTCCCCATCCCCCGCCCCCCGGAAAAAAAAAATAATATGCACACAGCACTAAAAACAAGCAGACTGCATAGGGAAGCAAATACATATATATATATTTATCTATATATATAAGTATAGCTATAGAACAAAAATATGGCAAGAAAAGCCCGCACACTGAAAGCTGACCCTGAGGAGAAAGGGGGGAGGGACGGACACCGGGGAGGGGGAGAGACGGAGAGGTTGTTGGTCCCTAAAGTTGGAGCTCTCTAGAAAGACTTGGCGTGAATTAAGGGAACCAGCGAGAGAGAAAGGGAAATAATTTAGGGCTGTCAAAGTCCTGCTCCTGACGGCTGCCAATCATCATGGAAGAGTCATAAAAAAATCCACTGCTAATATTTTTTTTATTAATATTTTTATTTTTTATTTCTGGACTGATTCAGATAAAGGGATTTAGAAGGACTGAGCATCTGCAGCTGCACTTATCTGAACTTCTCCTCTCCTAAATCCGTTGCCAACTTTGATTGAATGGGTGCTGTGGATGTGATTATATAATACTGCCATTTCCAAGCAGTGTTTTTGGTAGGTTTTAATAAACAGACTTTTCAAAAAGACGGCAATATAGAATTGTTAGATCCGTTGTTGATCTAAAAAAAAAATTTGCTTTATATTTTCATTAAATGACTTCTTTTAATATTTTATTCAGAATACCTATGAACTGCTGCAAAACGGTAATTTATTTTTTCCCCAGATCTTGTATTACGTGTTTTTTTCAGACGAGCACAAATCAAAATGAAATGAAAATATGGACAGTTGTTAGGTAATAAGGGTATCTTTTGATGTGATAATTTGATTGTAATTTAATTTGAGTAGTGATTCCGTAAGAGCTGATTGAGAAAATAAATTTGTTAGAATGAAATAGTCTGTGTCTGATGCATAAACCCTGTGTCGAAAAAAAAAAAAAGAAAAAAAGAAAAAAAAAAGAAAAAGTTATCCCGAGGCGATATTGCCAACCCCGAGGTGGGAGAATTGCTGGAGTCCGAAGTGCTCTCTGCACTTGTGCTCCCTGGAAATGCAGCGCTCCAGGATTCCTGCTCTTTAGCCTCCTAGCGCAATCCTCGCTCCCTGTCAGCCCGCACGCGGAGCCCCTTTCCCTGGCGCTTTCCAGCGGCGCAGGGGCCCCGCGGTGTGGGAAAGGCAGGCAGGATTAGGGATGCTGAAGGGCCGCATTCCCCACGAAAGGGCTGTGCCGGTTCGGGCTAGGGCTGCGCTTCGCTCGATGCTGCGGGCAGGGAGCTTCCCAAAAGTTCCCTCTTGCTTCGGCTCCTCTCAAACTCCGGACTTGGTGGGAGGGGTGATGGGGGGAGGTGATAAACTATATATCATTTTGACGCATTTTATATCTGCACATATATCCTTGTATTTATTTTATCTCTATAATTTAAGGAGAAGATACTCTTTTTTATTTTTTTTTCCTCCAAAAAGAAGGTTACGTAGGAATACGACTTTTCCCATCCTGCGCACGCTCCTGCGCGGAGTTGACCCTCTCTGTTGTTGCTGTCGTTGCTGCTGTTGTTGCTGCTGTTGGTTTAGGCTTGTCCCTGTGGGGTGTGAGTGGCGTAGCGGTTTTTCCTTCCCCCCCTTACCAGCCAGCGCGTGTGTTGGTCCTGCCGAGGGTGCCCAGGGAGGCTGTCACATTTGCGTGCTCGGTTTACGGCGGGGAACAGGCGAGTGGGTGCCCGGTTCTGCTCCCTCCGTGTGGCGCCGGGGACGTGGGGGGCACTAGGAAGCTGCAGCCACCCGCCCCCGCGAGCAGCCGGGCGCTGGGGAATAGGGGGGGTTATGATCCTTTATGATCCATCTCGCCCGTGGCTCCTTCGTCATCCTCCTCCCTCCCCTCGCAGCCTCCCCTCCCCGCTTGTGTTGCCTCTCGGCGCGATGTTGACGCGGGGGTGAAAAAAAAAAATAACACACACACACAAGGAGGGGAGGAAAGAAAGAAAGAAAGAAAGAAAGAAAGAAAGAAAGAAAGAAAGAAAGAAAGAAAGAAAGAAAGAAAGAAAGAAAGAAAGAAAGAA